CGCAGAGGGAGGGCTGAGCCCGCGCAGGTGGGAGGCCGACCCCAGAGCCGGGGGTCAAGGTACGCTCACCTGCTGCCTGTTAAACTGATGGTCATTCCAGGAGGCCCTTAAAGGGCACGTTCTCAGTCACTGGGGTGCGGGGAGCAGGCATGTGCGTGGAATTGTGGGAGAGAGGCCGTTACCGGGTTGGGGGGCAGAAACGCAGAGCCGCAAACGCAGGACCAAAGAGTCTGCGAAGGCACTAGGGAGCCACTGAGGGCTCTGGAGCGAGGGGGTGGTGGGATCGCAGTGCTTGAGGGAGTCTGTGCAGTTGGGGAGCCTGGAAACGAACCTCTTTCTTGCCCCGCCCCAGGGATCTCCGGGGGAGAGAGGTCCAGCCGGAGCCGCCGGGCCCATCGGAATTCCAGGGAGACCTGGGCCCCAGGGACCCCCAGGGCCAGCCGGGGAGAAAGGAGCACCGGTAAGTACCACTCGGAGGCGCCGGGGACCCCCCACCCCCTCACCTGGGGGTTTCCCACTCACCTGGGTTTGCAGGATGGGGGAGGAGGTGGTCTGAGGTCCTCGGGTGGGTGAGTGTGTGCCAGGTAGGTGTATGGGCCAGGTGTGTCCTGACTGAGGTCCGGGGGGCGGGGCCCTAAGTTGGCCAGGTTCTTTCATGGGTCTCCTGGGCGGGAGGGGTGCTGGGCAGCTCCCGGCAAGATCAGCCTGTCACGCCTGCGCATCTGTGCCCGACACGTGCTGGCACGGGAGCTGGGACAGTGTCCAAACGGGGGCCGCCTTCGTCTGGGCCCAGCTCTGGGCAGGCGCCTCCTTGGGTGGTCGGGGGCAGGTGTGGAGGAAGGAAGGGCGGAGACGTGTGATGGGAAGATAAGAAGCCTCTTCTGGGCCCCGATCACCCCGTCCCAGTGAACCCCACGGAGACCCCGGCAGGGCCTGGCGTGGGGCTCAGGGAGGGGGAGATGCGCAGTGGGAGCTGAGGCGGGGAGGTGCAGGCAGGAAAGGCGCACGCGGGGAGCGCCCGGTCTCAGAGCCGGCGGCATTTAGACCCGACACTGCGCGTGCCCACCAGTGTGCTCACCCTCGTGCTGTGCATCGTGGGCGGACGGGGTGCCCGGCTCAGGAGGGGGCGTTCCTGCCGCTCAGTGTGATGTGGGCACTGGTGGGAGTGAGTGACGAGCATTACCAAGTGCAGCTACCAGGAGACTGTGTCAAGGTTATGAGGAAAGGAAGACGGTGTGTGTGTGTGCGCACGTGTGTGTAATGTGAGTGTGATTGTGAGTGGGTGTGCACGTGTGTGTAATGTATGAGTTTGGGTGTGTGCATGTGTGTAATGTGTGTGCACGTGTGTGTAATGTGAGTGTGGGTGGGCACACACGTGTGTGGTGTGTGCATGTGTGTGCAATGTGTGAATGTGCACATGTGTGTAATGTGTGTGCACACGTGTGTGCATGCGTGTGTCACGTGTGCGCACGTTTTTGGAGTGTGGGTGGGTGTACTCATGTGTGTGATGTGTGCGTGTGTGCACGTGTGTGATGTGTGTGCACATGTGTGTGAGTGTGTGCATGTGTGTTTGGCAGGGAGGGTGTTGGCAGAGAACCGAGGCTAGTGAAGTTGGCGAGGCTGGAACTCAGCCATCCCGGGCCCAGGCTTAGGGGCTCCCGCACGGGGACCTGCTGGGCCGGCTTTGGATCCAGGCTCTGCTGCTCACCACCGGTGCCTCAGTTTCCCCTCTGTGGAAGCAGCCCTCCCAGGACGGGTGCGGTGCTGCTTGGGAGCGGTGGTGAGGGTGGGCCTCCATGTGTCTGGCTGAAGTCCATTGGGACGGGGCACCGTCCTGCCCCGTGTCCTGCCTGGCGTCCTGCCCGGGGCCTCCGGGGGCGGAGCTGATGAGCTGTGTGTGACGACGGGTCTTCTCTCCTCTTCAGGGCGAGAAGGGCCCACAAGGCCCCGCTGGTCGCGATGGTCTCCAGGGTCCCGTGGGGCTCCCCGGCCCGGCCGGCCCCG